TTTGTATTTACTAAATCCCTCTCTCCTGAAAGAAGCATAAGGTAAACAATAGAGAAGAATTAGGCCTTATTTACAAAAGACTTCCCCATGATCTTTTGTTTTTATTTACTACTGCCTTGTGAGTTTCCTTTGTTTACCTTCCTGATGATTCTCAATAAAAACCACAGAAAGGCATAGTATAGGGGCTGAAGTTCTCCCAGCTGTTAGCCTCCTGCCTTCACACTTTCTGGCCTGACCCCCATTCCTGTGTGTCCCCATCTCTGTCTTTTCCTTTGGTCTACAACAATAGCTGATAAGGGACTCATATAAAAAAATGTATAAAATACTCCAACACCTCAACAAGAAAAAGGTAAGCAACCCAATAACAAACTGAGCACAGGATAGAAATAAGACACTTCACCAAAGAAGACATTCAGATGGCAAACAAACACAGAAAGAAATTCAAAGTCCCTAGCTCTCAGAGAGATGGAAATCAAAACAGCTATGAGATATCTGCTCATCCTAGTAACAGTAGCAAAGTTCAGCAGAGCAGCAAACAACAAATGCTGGTGAGGGAGTGTAAAATGGTGCAACCACTATGGAAGGCAGTGTAGCACTTTCTCAAAAAGTTGAAAATTGGGTCCTTCCAGCGTCGCTGTCGCCGGAGTGAATTGATCCGGGAGTTGGAGAGGGCTCCAAAGGTGGGAAGTGGAGTCAGGGCCCCGGCTGCCCTGCCGTTGGCTTTTGAATGAGGATGACAATGGAAGAGATGAAGAATGAAGCTGAGACCACTTCCCCGGTTTCTATGCCTCTCTACGCAGTTATGTATCCTGTGTTTAATGAGCTAGAACAAGTTAATCTGTCTGCAGCTCAGACACTGAGAGCAGCTTTCATTAAGGCTGAAAAAGAAAATCCAGGTCTCACACAAGACATCATTACGAAAATTTTAGAGAAAAAAAGTGTAGAAGTTAACTTCACAGAGTTCCTTCTCCGTATGGCAGCTGATGACGTAGAAGAGTATATGATTGAACGACCAGAACCCGAATTCCAGGACCTAAATGAAAAGGTGCGGGCACTTAAACAAATTCTCAGTAAGATCCCAGATGAGATCAATGACCGAGTGCGGTCTTTGCAGACAATCAAGGATATAGCTAGTGCAATAAAACAACTACTTGATACAGTGAATAATGTCTTCAAGAAATACCAATACCAGAATCGCAGGGCACTTGAACATCAAAAGAAAGAATTTGTAAAGTACTCCAAAAGCTTCAGTGATACTCTGAAAACCTACTTTAAAGATGGCAAGGCAATAAATGTGTTTATAAGTGCCAACCAACTAATTCATCAAACCAACATGATACTTCAGACCTTCAAAACTGTGGCCTGAAAGTTGTATATGTTAAGAGACACGTACTTCTCACTGGCAGTATTGAACTGCCTTTATCTGTAAATTTTAAAGTTTGACTGTATAAATTATCAGTCCCTGCTGAAGGGACCTAATCCAGGATTTTTTTTTGTTTTTTTTATTTATTTTTTTTTTCTAATCCAGGATGTTGAATGGGATTATTGACATCTTACACCATATTTTTGTAAAATGTAGCTTAATCATAATCTCACACTGAAGATTTTGCATCACTTTTGCTATTATCATTCTTTTAAGAATTATAAGCCAAAAGAATTTACGCCTTAATGTGTCATTATATAACATTCCTTAAAAGAATTGTAAATATTGGTGTTTGTTTCTGACATTTTTACTTGAAAGCGATATGCTGCAAGATAATGTATTTAACAATATTTGGTGGCAAATATTCAATAAATAGTTTACATCTGTTAAAAAAAAGTTGAAAATTAAAAATAAAAAACGTTGGAAATAGAAATACCATTTGACCCCACAATTCCACATGAAGAATATACTAAAAAAACCAGAACTGCCACCGAAACAGATATACACACACCCAGGATTATTGCTGTGTTGTTCACAATAGCAAAGAAATGGAAGCAATATAAATGTCCACCAACAAATGAAAGGATAGAGAAGCTGTGGTATATTCACACAATGGAATACTACGCAGCACTGAAAAACTCATAAAATATCATACAGCATTGGTGAGCCTGAAAGAAGATTTTATGCTGAGTGAAATAATCTCACAAAAGGACAAATATTACATAACACCATTGTTAAAAAAAAAAAAAACCAGAACTGTCATGGGGGTGGGGGACTAAGAAAAGAGGGAATAAATAATGAACACTGCATTGGAAGAGATGAAGGAAAGAACTCTTTAAAAGTAATATATGATTAGGCATTATCTGTATGACAACAGTCCAGAATAAGAAGTGTACAGCAAAGTGGACTGAAGAGAGGGAGGAAATTATGCAACAATTTTTTTAAGTGAACTGGGGGAGTAGGGAGGGAAATGTACAACAATGAATAAATGAAAATCCAAGGCAGTCGTCAGAACAGAGCAAGGGAACACTACATGGTTCAAAATTGGGAAGGGCGTACGCCAGGGATGCATCCTATCTCCATACCTCTTCAACCTATATGCAGAACAGATT